AAACAAAGAAAAGAGTCGAATGGGATTGATAAATATCGTTTCATCCTCCTAACATTTTCAAAAATTCAATAGATGTGTTTTGTAGTCAATGAACTCTTTGAAATCGCATATGTTGAAAAAGAAAGACGAGAAAAGAGTCATCCTTTTTTCTTCATTTATCAAGACATCTACCTAAAAGTTCTAAGCCATTCAACAAGATGTCTAAGAGACTACGCAAATGATTCAATGATAAATAATACTAAATAATTACTTGAAAAAAGCAACACAATTTGACGCAATAAAGCTTTTATTAACAAACGAATTAATTGCATTTTGTATTATAAAAATAGCCGGATGCGAGAAACATACTCCTATTTTCATGATTGAAATTTAACTTTGATTATTTTAAATTATGAGAGTAATCTGTTTTTTTTACGAAATAAATTTTGATTTTCTTTGAATATTTCACGATCCGAAAATATCAAAATAAAATATCAGACTATATTGAAAATTACTTTTAATTGTGTACTGACACAATCTATATTTTTTGTGCTAGATCAAAGGCATTCAGTAGATTCTTATGAAATCAATCAGACAGAATATAAATCGTCCTTATCTGAAACTTTCTTGTTTTTAATTGGAAATAATGCGTGAAATCTTGGAATTTCTACAGTATGTATTTTATACTGAAAGACAACTTCTGATGACAATTGTAAAGCTTGGTGCCATCTTATGGAAAGAAAGTCTTATGATCATGTCAATGACAAGTTTTTCTGAATCAATATGAAATAAAATGAAACTTCAATTTTTCAAACACTCGCGTTGAATAGAAATAAAATCGAATATTTCGTTGCTAATCGGTGCCCAATTTCGAATAATTTCACCCATTTCAAATTATATTAAAATGCATCTCATTGCATAAGTTTTCTTTGTTTGTTTCCTTGTCGTTACTCTTCATTCATTCTTTTTATGAACGTTTTACTGTTACTATATGCAGTCTTTTTCAACAGAATGTATTTTTTGAAGGTAATTTAACAACACAAAAAAAGGAAAGAAGGCAAACAGAAAGAGAATAGAAAATGGTTACCTTACTATGAAAATGAATAAAAAGTGATTTACAAAAAAAAACATAGGCGAACAGCAAACGAGGCAGAAAAAAAAACATTCCACTAACAACAACATATTATTCAGTTTACCTATAACACTTTGTCCTTTTTTTCTTATCGTTGTAAGTTATTTATGAGGTAGATTCAAAAAAAATCAAGCGAAACTATTTTGAATTTTATCCAACTATCATCCAAGTAAAGTGCCTAATCTACTCATCTTTTTATTCTCTTCTTTCATGGAGAAAGTGTAGAAATTAATTAATATGCAACGAGCATTACCAGCTATAATCTTCGTAGTTATTCTTACTTCCGAGAACGAAATAAAAACGTTGTGAGATACGACAAAGAAATGGAACATTCAACGAATACAGTTGAAAGACTTCATTTTGTTCTACAATCTTCAGTCCTCACTTAAATGCTCTTGGTTCCAAAATGTTTATTCAGATAAAAAGATATGGATGTATATTTTCTATTTATCCCTCAAATTTACACCCACAGTGCATAGATTCTCTTGATAAATGATACAATTAATAATAATGTTTATTTTAACTCTTATTTCCTGAATAATAATTAATGCTTTATTTAGATTGTTCTACTCAAATGCCCACAAGTTCTTCCTCTAAGATCACCATTAGTGGACGCTTTCTTGATGCTGACAAAGAACGTTTAATACTTTCACTTCCACTAGAAGGATATGCGAAGAAACCTTTGGTATCATTGAACGAAGCAGTTGCGCGAGTAGCTAACATGGTTCATGAAGTTGAGAAACGTGTCTGGATAGCAATGGAGAGAAGCCGAAGTCCACCAGACGGTCTCGAGCAGAACGAATCAGCTGCCGTACGACTTTATACGGCTGAATGGGATGCTGGTTATGACAGTCTCTATAAATTATTAAATGAAACACTTCGTCTTGAAGATCGAAAAAAACTAATACCTTGGTTTTCTTACTTGAAACTCCTTCTTACTGCTCTATTTAAATTACCATCGTTTCGTGGAACTGTCTGGCGTGGTGTACAAGTCAACCTTTACTCTTCATACAATGTTGGCAGTCATATTACATGGTGGGCATTTAGTTCGTGTAGTGGATCAAGGAAGATTGCAGAAGAGCAATTTCTAAGTTCATCACGTGTTAGTACTCTATTTGAAATCGAATGCTTGAATGGAAAAAGTATCAAGCAACATTCTTTTTATGGACAGGAGGAAGAAATATTGCTTCTTCCAAGCAGTTACTTTGAAGTGGTTAGGAAAAGGATGGTTGTCGATGACTTATGTGTTATTTATTTACGTGAACTACTACCACCTTTCAGCTTACTTGAACCTCCATTTCCTATGGATGAGAACCCATCGATGTCAAATGCTGCCGCTGACAATAAAACTGCACCAATATTGATTGGTAAGAGTCATATGAATGAATATTTGATTTAGTTGTGCGATAATTTTCAGAAAAAAGCACAAGAATTATGAAAGGCTAAGCCGAATACAATTCTCAAAGAAAATAATAATAAAAATAATCATTTGCCCTAAAGAATATATGCGATCCTCTGCAAATATTTTCAAAATGTCCTCCAGAAAGTTCAATATCTCTTGTAAATAAGTCAAAATTTTTATATGCAATGATGAAATTTTATCGAGTTGACAGTTGCAATAAATTGAATAGTTTCTATTTAAAAAACTCTTCGTATTACTTAGAACCATCTAATTCGTAATGCCTAAGTTACAAATTATTCCTAATACTCAATATGGAGTGTAGACTTTATTTGAAACAATGCTCTTTTTTTCTTTCAATTGCGAAAATTCTTTTGACTGCTTGTCAGCTAGATACAGGATGGACCTTTGATTTATTGTTTTTGTGAGCATCTCATGTTAAATCACTAAATAAACTTAGTTGAGTGCATATTTTATTACTTTTGAATAGATACCTGAATTATTCTTGAATTTAACAGATTAAATTGTATCAAACACCTTCCTCATTTTTGCTTGTGATATGATTTTTTTTTGTAAATTGTATACAGAGCTATAAGAACTGTAAGAATTTCATAGCAACTAGATCGATCTGTGCTCTTCTCATTTTCCCATTCGCAATCATCAATATTCAGTAGCGTCACGATTTGAAATTTAAACAATCTATCATTGACTTAGCAGACACTCCGGAAGTATCTTTGCATCATCGGAATATCACTGATCAAGATATTGAACTTGTCGTTCATGCCGTCAAGGGAATCTGTCTGGTAAGACTGGCACTATTTATTTCTTCTCTTGAAATAATATTATTTTGGGGTGGGGGGGGGGGGGGGGGGGGGATGCATCATAGCTTCCTTCCAGCATCGTAATCAATCAATCACACGCATATCGAACACTGCCCAACGGGAATGAAACCGGTTGAAGTTCTTCAGAAAATTATATCGAGTCGAAATGAAACCTGCTGAACCGAATCGAAGCATAGACTACCAAAACTTTTGAGGAGATATCTGAATTTAAATATAACTTACATGGGTTCCCCAATCTTGTAAGAAACAATTTTGATCAGTTTTCCACAACCTGAGGTTTTTTGTATTACTTCTTGTCTGAATTTTATTATTTTCAAAAGTGCCTAAGTTTAGAAATAACTGCCGTACAAAGGTGAGGTGAAAATCGCTTAAGAAGATACAAATACAAAAGCAAAATATAACAAGCAAAAATTTCAAGACGTCTGTAACGTCATTTAGGGTATGGGCGTGGATGAAGAGAAGACCTGTACCTACGCCTCTCTACTATGATGATGGTCACATTCTAGAGAAACGTGATATATTTTCGAGGAACTGAATCTAGTTTCTAGAAAATGTATCCATTTCTAGAAACCAATTTAAGTTTCTGAAAATCGATTTTGTGTGGAGAGAACTAATGGACTTCCTAAAAGTCTTACATGGCATCATAGGATGTAGATGTAGATGTTCAGATTAATCAAACACATCCATATCCACATCCTTATCAAGAATCTTGCTTCGATATCTTGGAATAATGTTGGAACCTTCTTTAAATAGAGTCAATTTTGAAATAATCACGTAGAATGTTGATGCAATGCAAATGATTGAATGCGTGTCCGGACGTAAGAGATGTATTAAAATAAAAGCAACATTTGCTACGTTCTCCCCACTGCCGTGTTCGCAACATAAATATATTTGTTTTTTTTTATGACTGTAATTCATTTCATATCTTTTTTATCGATATTCAGACCTTGAACATATTAGATCTTGCTGGAAATCAACTTGGAGCTGCAGGAGTTCAACATGTTGCGCACAACTTAATGAATAAAACGGTATTTTAGTCTCGGTACTGTACATCTTATGGAATTTTTTCTTCTAATAGAAGACACTTTCTATACTGAATCTTGACGATAATCAAATTGGAGATACAGGAGCACAATATATTGCCAATGCATTGCTTCAAAATCAAGTTAAGTATCGTTTTATTTATAATGAATCATGTTCATTCTGTTTTTTCTCAAAATAGACAATGACTGTACTTGTTCTGAAGAATAATGGGATTGGAGATCAAGGAGTCAATGGTTTAGCAAAGGTTCTACAAAATAACAAAGTAATATTCATTGTCAGATTATTCAATGTATTTCCGTTTTGACTGATATCTGTAGACACTAACATCCCTCGATCTCAGTGCTAATAAGATTAGTGACCGTGGCGCAAAAGATCTCGCTGACGGCATTCAGAAAAACAAAGTGACACTATTTCTCAATACCTCAGTCATATATGCATCTTCTTTGCTTATTACAGACACTCACAACATTAAATCTGAGTCAGAATGAAATCACACTTGTGGGTCAACAACATTTCACAAATGTTTTAAAAATTAATAAGGTATTGGAGACATTTTCCACATTGCACTATAACCTGTTTCTTCTGCATTCAGACATTGACAAATCTGCAGTTTGTTGATGATCAACGTAAGTAGAATAAGTATCCATAGAGTGATTTATCACACATTGCCATGCTCTGTCCTCTTTTAACAGACAACAGGGCAGGATGCAAGATACCTTGTTGAATTTATAATAAATCAGTATCACTGTTTCTATTAGGTTCATAAATATCTGTTTCATTGTTGTACCGCAGAATATCTGAGTTTTGCTATGAACTTGTTATAAACATAATTATGATAATGAAAATAGATAAAAAGTACATTTTTCATTGAGACTTTTTGATATAAGAATATATCATTGCCATCGAAACGTAAGGATTTAAAAATATACCACAGTCTTTTAATTGATAGATAAATCAATTGCTTTTTAATTCGCAGATTGTAATATACTTACAACTTGATGATGATATATGTTTGTATCGAAAGGCTGCAACAGACTTGTAACAAACAGTAGTTCTCCATTTGGACCCAATATACAATCATAGAGTGTGGGTGTGGATGGTCCTTTTCCAACAATAAAAGACCGCAGCAGAAGTCCCCCACTGACACCCTGAGTTTTAGTACGTAAAATTTCTCTCGTATATCAGTATACTTCGAGGATTCTTGTGTTGCACTTCAGTAGACTTGCTATAGAAATGGTTCATGTTTTATGTTCTTTTGATAGCCCTCCAAGAAACATTTTTGGAGATCCTACACTAATTTTCCTTATGATTGTAGTCCACCGACCTAAGTGAGCCAAAAAACCTAGGAAGACGACCACTATGGATAGTCCAAAATATCTGCGACATCCATCTGGTCTAGTCTCAAATGTCTTGCAGATTCGTAATGACCAGACAAATTTTCAAGACGTGTCCTTAGACTCAGTAATATGTAGTCTGCTGTGTCCATCGAACCTATCGCAACTAGTCGAGAGGCTAAAACAAAGAGACGAAGAGTAGGTTTGAACTCTCATCCAAAATTAATCAAAAAGTGATGAGTACCTTGACATAGGACTAGAATAATGGAAAGAACAGACGTCGATTTGTACAACCTAAATTACGAATCGATGTTTGGTTCATGAACTAGATAAATGGAAGTCCGTGAACGTCGAACTACTTTGATTAGTCTGAAATGCCTTCAGTAGTAGTCAGAATAAGTTTGAGAGGTTACTTAAGAGTGTCATGACTAATCATTTTCTAAATAGTGTGACTTCAGTTCGAATTCAAACTAATCCAACAAATAAGAATATCTCTTTTTATTTGCACTTAATATATTATTGACGTCCTTAGATTGATAAATAATGGAAATTAAATGAGACTGATATTAAGTAGATATTTTTTCACTGCATGTATTATTTTGTGAAATACGAACTGAAAAGAGTATTGAAGTATATACAGGCAGAGACTTGAGTCTGAGGTGTGAATTTGGATGTACATGTGGATGAATGGACATTCTGTATCAGCACAAACATCCATACCCAGAAGGTTTTTATCGAAATACAAATAATTCGAACCATGAAGAAAATGTATAATTTGTAGCTTTTCATTTAATGCCAAGATTCTCTTAAATAAAAAACGATAAGGAAACTTTGAACAAAAAACAAAGTCATCTCACTTATCAATATTGAAATCTCATTGAACTGTATAACAAGACAGTTGATATTTGAAAGTTTTTTCTTTCCACGATTATCAGCTTTTTACGATTACTCTTTATACTTTCTTTGGATCGAACTTCGAAGTAAAAACTTCATGTGTATTTATCAATTACACAGTTTATCGTGATGACCTCACAGTTTCTTTAAACCAATAACACGCATGTCTATAGTGAGCCTCGGTTCAATCAGGAACATGTCAGTTTTTTTTATAATAGAACGTATTGCTATGAGATTAAATGATTCCATAATTAATTCGTATTAATCTTCCTCTTGTATATCAAACAAATCAAATGTATTCAAATTTACAATCGTTTTTATGAGCGAATAAAGTCGATTATAATTATTTAATTTTCATTCTGATGAAGAAGAAAAAAGAACTTCTGTATTCTGAAATATAAATCGAATGCCACGATCCAGTAATACAATGATTATTTATATAGACAGTTAGTGAATAGTTTACAAAGCTCGAAAGCGAGTCTCTTAGATTATGAGAGACGTAGTAAGAAGAAACATCTGGTATCTTTTTCATATATACTATATTCATGTTACATTTCAGTAGAATAGCTTCACAAATTATTATTTTGTTTTGTAGGTGCTTCATCAACAAAGAAAAAGACGGGAAGCAACAAATCTTCAGTAAATATTTAAAAGATTGCTTTTTCTTTTCTTTCTGTCTTTTGTTCTTGTACTCATTAATTTTATTTCTAGAATGATGCAGCTGCGGCTTCACCATCAGTCAGTACCGTTGCAAAGGAGGTTAGATTAATAATAATTATTTTAAATTGCAAATTCACTTTCATTGATCCTGTTATCATTATAGAAATCCAACATGAAAATCGAGAGTTCATCAAAAAAAGGTAGGAAAATAATGTTGACCATGTTA